TTTTTTTTTTTTTTTTTTTTTTTTTTTTTTAATTATTTTCTTTTAAAACATGTATTGTCATTCAACGAATTTTATATCTTACTCTTTCTTTTATTTCTTTTTTTACGGTAATATTTAGTAAATTCTTTTCCTTGCCTTCTCTTTCTGTCTTCTCTTCTATCCTTTTTATCCCGACTTTTTAATTCCTTTTTCTTTCTTTCTTTCTTTCTTTTTTTTTTAAAGAAGATACTGATTATAATTAGCAGGTAAGTTTCTTTCGTCTGACTATTTATTTTTTTTCTATTTTGGAAAATCATTTTCGATCGCGCATCGAATATTTTTCCCCAAGAGTCAGAGTCATAGTTTCGCGTTGTCCTTCCCCTCTATTCACATTTTATTTATTTCCTACCTCTTTTCTCTTCTTTCCACTTCATTTTTACATCTCCCTTTCTTTATTGGTTTTTTTCCCTCTTTCTCTCGTGTTATGTGTTTTAATATTTCCTTAACGTTTTACAACACGGAAAGAATCGACAAGAGACAATATTTATTAATTAAGAACGAAGACAGACAGACGACAGACAAACGGACAGACATACAGATATTTAATCGAGTTTTTTTTTNATATATATATATATATATATATATTTTCTCTTTTTTTTGTATTCGTCTTTTCATTTTTTACCAAAGATTTTTTTTTTCCTCTTTTTATTTCATCTTCTACATCACGTTTTTTTCTCGAAAGAAGCGTCTCCTCACTTCCTCGCGCATCTATTACATTCTTACAATTTCTTTCTCTCTCTCACTTTCTCTTATTAGCATTCATTCATTCATTCATTCATTCTCTCTTTCTCTTGCTCTCCCCTCAGTATACATATCATTAATCGCGTATCACTACTCGCTATCATCGATTTTTACGCGTTGTTTCTTATCACGTTTCAAAATCCGACGTATGTCTTTCTTTATAAACAAAAAAAAAAAAAAGAAAAGCTATTTATTATTTAGTTTATTTTCTTCGTCTATTCCCCACCTCTCCCTCTCTCTATCTCTTTCCTCTCTCGTTTTTCTCTCTTTTCTTTCTCGAGCGCAAATTTATTGTCTCCGGGGGGGGGAGAAAAAAAAAAAAAAAAGAAAGAAAAAAATAAAACAGGGATGATCCCACATCACTGTCTCGCGTGAATCGAGGCGATGACGACGACACAATCGACGGCAAACGATATCGGCGGATAACGATAGCAACGATAACGAAAAACTACCCCTAACATCGTCGATCGATTGTTACACGCGTGGCACGGGTGGCATCTTGTCGATCTCTTTTATCGGGATTTAGGAGACGATAATGGAAAAAAATAAAATAAAATAAAATTAATAAAAAAAAAAAACCGAGAGACACTTAAAAGGATTACGTTACGAGAGAGAAAGCAAAATACAAGGAAGCAAAAAAAAAAAGAAACAACGAGGATCGTTCGTCCCGTGAGAACATCCTCGCATTCACACTCTAATTATGGTTATTTTACGGGGATTAACCTAGCGAGGAACGAATAAAAAGAAGAAGTAGAAAAATAAGAAAAGTGAAAAAAAAAGAGAAGGAGGGTAGGAGGAAATTGTGGACGAGAACCGAAAAGCTCAACGTCGGCCTTCGAGACGGGGAAAGAAGCTTGTCGTATTTATTTCTGAGGGGTGTGCTTTGGATAATGCTTTTATATCGGGGGGATTCTCCTCTTCTTAGGCTGTTGACAGAATAGAATGGAAAAGCGGTCGTTTAGTCACATCAGGCATCATAAAAGTCAGACGAGAGGCGAGCAAGGGTTCAAACATAGAAACGAGAAATGGAAGATATTCTTTCTCTCGAGGAATATATTATATACGAATATAAATAAAATAGACGTGGAAGGTTGTACATCGTATACGAGCAATTCCTACTGTAACGAATATATAAGAATGATTGAAGCACACATTTATAAGGTAAAAAAGTTGGAAAAACGTTCTACTCGCACGAAAAAATGGAGAATAAATAAAGATTTGAAAAAAAAAAAAAGAAAAAAAAAAGAAAAAAAAGATAGAGCGAAACGAAAACTACACACACAAACTACAAACGGTGACAAAAACGTGGTTAGCTGAACGCTGGTGAAAAGAAAGGTGGAAACATCGACAGATCGATTTTTTTTTAATTTTGACGTTCATTTAACGAGTATACTCACGAGGGATGTGTTTTCTTGGACACACCTTTGTGTCTTTGGTCATAGATCGCTCGATCCAAGAGGAACTTTACTTCTCTTTTTCTTCCCCTCTTTACCTCTCCTTCCCACTTTCCTCAAATCGATAAGTTTATTTTCTTTCGTCTTCGCACTTTTATATCTAACCTAACTAATAATTCGACATTATGAATTAAACATTATGAATTCGTAATAATCACGATGCGAATTTTGCACTTTCACCCGTCCAATAAATATTCATCGAGGTCGTGGGAAACGAGGGAAACAAAATGAGAACTCGTTCCTCTTCGAACGTATATTTTATATATATATACGTATCCATTGTTCAGAAATTTCGTTGGTGGTCGTAACGGAACAACACGCGCTTTAACTTTACTTTCCATTAAAACTAATCGGCAGAGATATATATATATATACATGTGTATGTGTATATGTGTGTGTACACAACAATTTCGAATCGACGTGTCCGCACAGGTGCGGATTATTGTTTTCAGGAATAGATCGATCGATCCACGAATCGAATGGAAGCACACAATGATTCGTATCTTCTCTTTTTCTTTTTTTCATTTTTCTGCTACTTTTATATCCATCGAACAAATCATCCGACCACAACACGCCACGAGTTATCGAGATCACGCGTTCCATCACATGTTCCGTATATATTCCGTAGCTACAAATTGGCGGCAAGTTAACGACGACCAACGATCAACTAACCTTTAGGCGGCTGCATCCCCAGCTTTTTCATGCCTTCCCGGACCTCTTCGAGGTCCGTGTCCGAGACCCTCATGCTATCGGACACGAATTCGTGGCCCGGCGAATCGGCCAACGCGCTGTTACTCCCGGTCATCACGGTTCCGCTGCTTTCCTGGCCAGTGGTCACTTGAACTGTTCGCAAGACAACACTCACGGCTAAACTAGAAGGGACGGGTACCGGCCTAACGCTAAAAAGCTTCTACTACGCTTCTATTTTATATTTACAGCTCGTTTTCCCTTTTTCTTTCTTTCTTTCTTTCTTTCTTTCTTTCTTTCTTTTTCGAATTCTCTAAATTCGTGCGATTTATGCGATGCGATTCATTGTGATTCCGAACCAATACAAAAAAGCCGCTACTTTTCCTCGCCTTCACTAATTCTAGTTCTAAAATTACGTTTCATTTAAAAAAAAAAAAGAAAAAAGAAGGAAGAAAGAAAAGAAAAATAAACA